GGCCGCGCAGCGCGCGGCAGCCGGGCGGGCGGGCGCCGGGCAGCCCAGGCGGGGGGCGAGCCCAACTGGCGGCACCGCCGCCGACCCCGCCGCCGCCGCCCCCGCCGCCGACTCCTCCTTCGCTTCCCGCCCGCCGCCTGCGGCCGCCGCCCCCCACACCCCCCCCCCGCCGCCGCCGCCGCCTCCTTCCGCCGCAGGCCGCCGCCGCCGCCCCTCACTCCGCCCCGGGCCGCGGCCGCCGCCGCCCAAGCCGCCGCCTCCTCTCAGCGGTGTTTTCGCTGTGGCCTCGCGCCTCCTTCTCCTCCTCGGCCCCGGCGCCGGCCCGCGCCCCCTCTCGGCTTTCGCCGCCCTCCTCAGCGCCTCGCCTCGCCGCTGCCTCGCCGCCCTCCTCAGCGGAGGCCCGCCGCGTGGCGCAGCTGCCGCGCCACCCGGCGCTGGACAGCGCAGCCTACCGCGCTGTAGGCGCGCGACAGCTCGTAGTGTTGCTCGTCGTCTGGCAGCTCGCGCACGTGACTGAGCAGCCACTGGCGCGCCTCTGCGCCGAGCCGCCCTGCAGTCTCCACGGCGAACGCTGTCAACCGTTCGCCGGGATAGCGTTCGTGCTTCTCCCGCTCTGCGCGCCGCGAGGCTTCTCCAGGCCTCCGGGCGGCGACGCGGACGGCGGGCTCATCCCCCGCTGCAGGGTGCCGCACAGTGACGTCCACCCACCTCGTGCCATCCACATCCCCGTACTGGACATCGAGGATAGCTCGCTCGAGGACGGCGGGCCCGTCGCCTTCGGCCGGGCGCCGGGGCCGAAAACGATCCCAGGTGGGCGCGCGCTGTTCGTACAGCGGGCGGTCGTGCGTCCACCGCGCCGCCAAGGCGCCCACCGCCTTGGCCAAGCCGCCGTGACGCCGCGCCACGCCTCCTCCAGGCTGGCAAGTGGCCGCGTGGTAGCCGTCCGCGTCAAGTGGCGCCTGGCAGCAGACCCCAGCCGCGGTCTGGTTGCAACACGTCGCAGCTGCCCGCGCCATCTCGTCGCGAGAGCATTCTGGTCGTGGTAGTAAGAGGCGGCAGCGCGTCGCGGTGGCCCACTCCACGTCTTCCAGCGCGCACGATGCCTCTGTGGGGCACTGCAGGTACGCCCCAGATCCCGGCCCGCCAGCGGACTGAAGGACTGCCTGGTTGCGCAGGTGCACTCGCTGCCGGGAAGCAGCCAGAGTTGTTTTGTGCACCGTCGCCACCATCGTCTTCTGCCTCGTCGGCCAGCCAAGCGCCGCGGCGAGCGGGGCGGCGGGGGACGGCTCCGCGCCCTGGCGCGCCAGTTCTGCGCGCGCGTCCGCCAGCGTCGCTGCGTTGCGGGGGAGAGCGTCCAGCGCGTCCGCGAGCGAGGCGGCGCCCAGGACGCGGCGCACCTCGTCAGCGGCGTGCGTCCAGGCGGCCCAGAAGGCCGCGGCTCGCCTCGTGGTCGCCCACTGGGCCCCCTCGCCTCCGAGCTTGCGCGGCAAGCCCAGCAGCTCGCAAGCCTCTGGTCCAAGGGGGCGGTCCAGCAGCTGCTCCCAGCAAGCCCTCAGCGCGGCGTCGTAGCGGAAGGCCTCGCCTGGAGTCGCCAGCGCAAGTTGGAGGTAGTGCTGGCTGGCGTTGCCCGCGTAGGTCGTCAAGAGCGCCGCCCTTGCCTGCTTGGAGAGGCCCCCCTGGAGCTCCTGGAGGCGAGCGAAGAGCTCCTGCAGGCGCGCCGCTGCGTTGTCGAGTCCGCAGCCTGCCTCTCCGCCGAGGTGGAGCGCGGCGTCGTCGGCGTCCCCAGGCGCCCGCAGCTTCGCGCCGAGCACCGGCAACGCGGGAACGGCGTGGCCTGCCAGTTCGGGCGGCACGGCCTGCGCCCCAGCTGGTGACCAGACCAGCGTTTTCCGGGCGTTGAGCTCGAGCCCCAGCGGCACAAGCGCCCGGTTCAGCGCCTGCAGCGTGAGCGCTCCAAGGTCAGCTCTTACCACCAGGTAGGAGTCGTCAAGGTAAGAGAAAAGCCTCGCGTGGGGGTCCCGCTGCTGTAGCTCGCCCAAGAGCTGCTCCAAGGCTGGCCGTTGACCGACGGCGAAGCCAGCCGGGGACAGCGGGCCCCCTTGGTCGAAGCCCCGCCGGCTCCAGACAGCTTTGAACTGCCCGTTGGCTCCGCGCCAGTAGTGCTCGGCCGGCCGCGCGTACCACGTCTGCAACGCTTCAGCCACTTCAGGCACCGCCGCCGCCATTGCCTGGAAAGCGGGGCCCCGCCTCATCCTCTGAAACGCGGCCTTCACGTCTACCTTGATAAACAAGGCGCCCGGCCGAGTCTCTGCCAAGGCTTGCAAGTGCTTCACCAGCAAGGTCGCCCCGCCCTTGCGCCCGACCCCGTATTGGTGCTCGCCCGCCGCGTCGGCAAGCTGGTCTTTCCGCGCTCTGGCCAGCGCCCGCAGCCCGAGGCGGCGGAGCGTCGCGCTCACCAGGAGGGGCCGGACCTCCCCGCCCCCCTTGTCGAGGGCCACCAGCTCTCCTGACTGGAGCGCCTGGAGGACGTCTGGTGGGAGCTCGCCGAACGCGACCCGCGCGGCCACCCGGGAGAGCAGGCACCGAGTCTCCTCGCCGTCGGCGCCGGCGGCGAGGTGCTCCAGCCGCGTACCCAGCAGGCCTGGCGCCGTCAGCCGGGGAGGTCGCCGCAGCAGCTTCCGCACTTCTTCCTCCGCCTGTGCCCGCAGCTCAGGGCTCGGCGGCGCGCGCGGCAGGGGCGCCGGCGGCGGCGGTTGCCCCTCTGCTGGGGCGTGCTCGTCTGGCGGGAAGCTCGCGCGCAGCTGGTCCAGGGTTGCGTCGGTGCGCGGCGCCAGCTCGGCTCCGACTGCGGCGGCCAGGGCGCGGCTCTCTTCTAGCAGAGGCCAGCGTGTGCACGCGCCTCCCTCTCTCCCTGGCGGTCGTGCGTCTTGGAGGCGCCCTGGACGCTAGGCTGCCTCCCGTGGCAGAGGCCCACAGCGGCGCCCGCTGACCGCCCCACCACAAGGCGAGCCGCTCCTCCAGTAGTTCGGCACACGTGGGGCCGCCGCCGCTGGGTCTGGCGAGGAGCATCATCTCGAACAGCAAAAGGAGCTCCCACTCTGCGGACGTGTCTCCCTGGCGGCTCGCTTCTTCCAGAACTTCCAAAGCTTTGTGGCGGGCGTGAGCCACTGCCCCGCGAAGCCTGTCGGGCACCTGGACGAAAGTGGATACTCCTGTCTTGAGCGCCGCTTCCCAGGGCAAGTTCTGCCACCACATGCGCCCGGGGAGCGCTTGGTCGTCCCAGTCTGGGCGTTTGACTGGTATCCCACCGCCGTGGCCAGGGTCACCCTCTCCCTGGGCCTCGGGGCCGGGATGTCCGCCAGCGTCGCGCTCGGCAGCTGCAGTGGCTAGCGCGGTCCGCGCCTCCTGGACGTGCACGGCCTCTGCCCGACCGACAGGGCGCATCTCGTCCTCTGCTCCCACTTTGCCAGCTGTGCACCCCACGCACGTCCAGCTGTACCGCTGCCGGCTGCCCCACGGGCATAAGCGAATTTCCCGCGACGCGAACGGAACTGCGCACGCCTTGCACGCTGCTGGGCGTTTGGACTCCGGCTGGAGGTCCACCGCCCATTCTCCAGGGGCACGCCGCCTCTGTCCTCGTCCTCCTGCTCCCGCTGCTGCTTGCGTCCCTTCTGCTGCCCCTGCTCGCGGTGCTGCTCGCGCTCCTGCTCCTGGCGGGGGCGCTGCCTCATCACCCATCGCCTCATCCTCTCCCTCTTCCATCTGCCTCTGTGCCCCTCCCCGCCCTCCGCGAGCCCTGCGGGGGGGGCTGGCGAGGGCGATCCCCGCCCGCGCAGGAGGGATATGGGGGCATCCTCCCCCTCCTGCTGGGCTCGCGCCGCCGGCGGCGCTGGCGGAGGCGCCAGCGGAGGCGCCCGGGAGGGCGGGGGGCCGGCGATTGCACGGCGGAGGCGGCGGGGGGGCGGGGCGGCGGGGCGCGCGGGCGCGCGCGTGCCGCTCCTTGAGCTCCTCCTCCTCCTCCTCCTCCCTCCTCCTCCTCCTCCCTCCTCCTCCTCCTACCTCCGCCCTCCCTCCTCCTCCTCCACCTGCTCCTCCTCCCTCCTCCCTCCTCCTCCACCTCCTCCTCTCTCCTCCTCCTCCTCCTCCTACTCCTCCCTCCCCTCCTCCTCCTCCTCCTTCCATCCTCCTCCTCCTCCTCCTCCTCCTCCTCCTCATCCTCCTCCCCTCCCCTCCTCCTCCTCCTCCTCCATCCTCCCCTCCTCCTCCGCCTCCTACCTCATTTCCTCCTCCTCCTTCCCCCTCCCCCCCCACCCCATCCTCCTGGAGTCCTCCTCCTCCCCTCCCAGCCTCCTCCTCCTCCACCTCCCCTCCTCCTCCTCCCTCCTCCCCTCCTCCTCCTCCTCCTCCTCCTTCCTCCTCCTCCTCCTCTACCTCCTCCACCCCCTCCTCCCCCTCCCCCTCACCCCTCCTCTCCTCCACTCCTCCTCCTCTCCCTCCCCCTCCTCCTCCTCCCCCCCCCCCCTCCTCCTCGTCCTCCGCCTCCTCCTCTGCCAGGGAGCACCCAAACTTGCCCCAGAGCCCCCCCAAAGGGCGCCCTGGACAGGCCAAGAAAGCCACAAGCCGCCGAAGGACCGCCCCAAGACGCCCAACGTTCCCTCCCCAGACGGCCGAAGAAGCCCCAAAAACGCCCCAAAAAGCTTTCCATTGGCTGTTGAAGATTTTCATCATTCTCCCGCCGTCGGCTTCCCGACGCTCCAAGAAAGCCCAAGAGGTCTCCAAGACGCTTCCCAGACGGCGCAAGAGGCCCCCAAGACAACTCAGCAACATCCCGACGCGGCTCCAACACTGCCTGGACCCCAAGAAACCCTGAGAAAGCCCGGAAAAGCCACCCTGTCCAACCCGCCCTCCGACCCCCTCCTCCTCCTCCTCCTCGGGCAGCTCACAACTGCCCGCCCTCAGAGCTCCTACTGCGGCGGGTCACCAGCCCCCACGGCTGCCGCCGTGCCCGACCCCGCCATCTCGGCAGGGCCGCCGCCGCCAAACCCGAACCCGCCGACGTGCTCGGCGCCGCCGTGCTCAGCGCCGCCGAACCCGAATCCGCCGCCGCGCCCCCCCGAGCCCGCCGCCGTGCTCCGCCCCACCTCCTGGCCATCGCCCGCCGCACCCGCCGCAAGGGGGTCCTCCGCCCGGCGCTTGAGCACCCTCTTCACCTCAAACACCGTAGATGATGCAAGCACGCCGTCACCCGAGTCGTACCCCTCCACCTTCACCCCAACCGTCCACTTACTTCACCGCCTTCGCGTCCCTCACGACGGCGTCCAGGTTCGACCGGCTCGCATCACCACTGGTCACAGACCGGCGCTCCAACTCTGCCACCGCCCGCGCCGTCACGCCTAGGAACTCCTCCCCCGCAGCCCCCAAGACGGTCAGCCACGCCCTCGCCCCATCTTCCGAGAGCAGCTGCACACGCGCGAACATGAACGGTTCCGTCGCCACCTCCTTGTCGCACCGCCAGCAGTGACCCCCCACCGTCTTCGTGTAGCACGTCCGCCCATCCGCCGTCCTCTCCAAACACGCGTCGCAGTACGGCGCCCTCTTGCGGTAGACCTGCTCCAAGGACCCCGCCACCTTCACGTACTTCAACTCCTCCAGGGACCCTCCCTCGATCTCCTCCACCAAGTCGCGCAACTCAGCGCCAGTCACCGCTGCGGCGTCGGCCAAGGTCGGCTGCCTGCACGCCTTCGTAGCCACCACCAGGTCCTCCTTGACCTCATCGTACCACTTCACCAGCGCCGGCGCCTCCACGGGCCGAATCACCCCGCCACCCCTCAGCGCGGCCCTCAGCTTGCCCTCCCCCGCCGGCCGCAACACCAAGCCGTGCACCATCACCGGGAACGGCGGCCCCCGCCCGCCCTCCAGACAAGCGCCCTGCAGCACGCGCACGCCCTTGCCCCGCACGTTCACCACAAGACGCGAAGCCGACGAAGCCGCCCCACCATCAACCGCAAGCTCCACCTCCATCACCTCGACGCTCCGATCACTGCCGCCCCGGTCCCCCCTCACCACGCTGCGCTGCACCAGCTTGCTCTCAACGACCTTGATCACCACGGCCCCCACGTGGCCCGGGCGCCCGCCCACCGCCGCCACCGCCGAGTCCACGTCCCCAACCTGCACGGCGCCGTCCGCCACCTTCTCCACCACGAACTTCTTGTTGAACGTGATGTCCATCAAGATCGTCGACATCGACGTCTCGTGACCTCCAGCGAACCCCGCCCCGATCGCGCGCGCGGCGTCCCTCGCGCGCGCGCGGGCCCCCCTCACTATGAAGACTCCGGCGCACGCAAGAGACACTGCCCATGCCCCTCCCGAGCCGATCACCACCGAGCTGAGCACGGTGATCCGACCGCAGAACCGATCCAAGCAGAGCGACACGCACAAATCGCAAACATCACATCACGACGACCACAACGCGACCAAAGACAAAGGCCAAGCGATCGAGACAAAGCCCAGGCAGTCAAGGCACCAACGTATGTCCACCATGCCCCCCCGCAGCCGCAAGGCCACGGGCACATCCCGGCACGCCTCCGCCATCGCCGCGCACGATTCGCCGAAGAACGTCATGGCCGCCACCTTGCCGTCGGCAAACCCCGAACAGACGCCGTACTCGTGCACCGTCACCTTATCCTCCTTGTCGATATACGTGAAAGTCTCCACCGCCTCAGTGCCCGCGCAAGCGCCCGCCCGCAGCAAACGCCAGAAGTCCACGGACGACCGGCCGACGGCCGCCCCACTAAAGACCCAACCTGCCCCCCGCCCAGGATCGAAAGAAACTATCGCGCGCCGCCAGCAAGGCCATCCTCCCAGCCACCCATCCCCCCACCCATTCCCGACCCCATCCCATCCCCCCCGCCCGGAGAAGATCCCGAAGCGCTGAGCACGCCACGCCCAGCACCAACACCTCCACGCACGCGTTCCGCATGGTGGCGTCCAGCTTCTCGAGCGCAAGCACCCGCTGCCTGCCCGGTGCTCCTCTTCGGCGCCATGACCCTGCAACGGACCGAACCGCCAAACTCCAACGGAGACGACACTGGAACCGCACAGCGGCCACGTACGACGACAGCGACGACGACCCCGACCTCCCCATCACCCCCCAGGCACACGTGCATTCAGTCCCCAAGACCAGATCTGCCTCGCCTCGCCCCCACGCCCGTTCGGCAAGAGACCGGCCACGTCGAACCGAAGTGCTGCGGGGCGCGCGAACATGCCGTTCTACAGCAAACGAGCGAGTGGGTGAGTGATGCGCCCCCCAAAGCAGAGGCGAAGAGAGAGAGAGAGAGAGAGAGAGAGAGACAGAGAGAGAGAGAGAGAGCATGCAACGTCTGGGGATCTGTGGAGCCACCGGGGTCCCACGTCTGAGCCCACTCGCTGTCGCCGCGGATAGAGCGCATGCGCAGCAATGCGGCGCCAACGCATGCCGGCGACCGACGCGGCCGCCGCGCACCCTCAGCCATCGCAACCTGCTGGGAAACAGAACACCCGCAACTCACCAACAGAAACCTGCGGAGACTCAACCCCATGAGAACCTGGAGCAAGGTGGCGAATACACGAGCTGCTCTGAGAGCCATGGAACACTCTGCGCGGCGAAGAGGCCGACGGGGCAAGTAGCCAGGACGCCGACAAGAAAAGACACACGAACAAAAGAAGAGAGAGCGACCCGACACACGCACAACAGCTCAACACGCCACACGCAGACACACACACACACACACACACACACACCAGAAACTTCCACAACCCCAGAAACAATGAACCCCTTTTTCTGATAATGCGGCGAGCGCAGGCCGCACAACTCCACCAGCACCAGCCCCGCGCCGCCAGGATAGCCGCCCACCAGACAGGTGCGCCTCCAGCATGCGAGCGCGCCCGAATGCGATGCCAGCGTGCGCCTCGAGCAGCGTCTGCTCAATCCACCCGGTCACGCCCATCGGGCGGGGCCGAGCCGCTCGCCCAGAGGCGCAGCCATCATAGAGCCGCCCCCGACAGCGCCGCGATGGTCGGCTCAACGACCCCGCCCAGGTCCCTCGCCATCTCGCGCCCGCCACGCCCCCCGCGCTCACCGCCCAGCAATGGCTCCGAAACCGCACTGGCCGCGCTCGCTTTTCCAGCGACTTCGCCGACCACTGCCTGGGCGCCAGCAGCGGCGCCATCGCTGGCGAGCACCCTGGCGCGCGGAGCCCTCCCTGCACGCCCGCCCTCCGAAGCAGCCTCTGCGCGCGCCGCACCGCCCCGCACGCGCCCCTCAGGACGCCCCGCCGCACGGGCTGACGCACACCATGACGTGCACCTGCGCCGGCTTCCGCTCCCCCACCCCGCCCTGCACAGGCTGAACCCTCGCATCATCGCACATCCAGAACAGACCGCCCGGCCCACGGCGCATGGCCGCGCAATGCCCCTGACGCACCGTGGCCACGTTGTGAAAGAGCACCCCCGCCAGCACCATGCGCGAAAACCCCGGCAGCTCGATCTCCTCTTCCACGCCCACGCGCCGGCGCAACAAGACGCCCTGGCCACCAGCCGCCACCGGACGGACCACCCGCACGAGAAGCACCGTCGGCAGCTCGCACACGCGCCACTGCAGCACGTGCACCTGCCGGGACTGACACCTGGGGCAGTCCAGGCGATCCGCCTCAGCCTGCAGCTCAGGGCCGCACGCACGCAGGTACAACTCGGAGGTCGTCAACCACACCCTCCCGTCCTCGGGCGGGACCACCGACACCATCTCGGCCAGCTCGTACCTGGCACGGCAAAGACCACACGCGCGGCGCAGCGACCGCGTCTCCGCGACACTCCTGAACAAGCGACCCCACTGCGTGACCTGGAAGCCGGCCTGCCCATGGAGCCACCCGTCGCCCCACGGCACGCCCCGACCCGCATCCAGCTCCACCTGTCCAGGGTCGGACAGAGGCTGCCAAACCCGCGGCTGCTAAACACAAGAACACAACCCCTCCCCAGAAAAAATGCGCAGCACACGAGCAGTGACACAAGTTTCTCCTCTGAAGCATAACAAACCCTTCGCGGAGTTCCGTTTTCACAGCCACGGGTCTGTCAGCCTTCTCCCGACTTCCGAACCTGACGAGCTCTGTGGAACCAATGCCCAAAGAACTCACTGGCGCCCCACTGATTCTCATCCCCGTACCGCTCGCCCACCGCCGCCCTCTCCTCCGCGAGCTTCGGCTTCCGCACCCCGGCGCGGCGCGACGCCGCCATCACCTGCTCCAACGTCTGCCGCAACAAACACACGACGCAATCCTGGCCAACCAGCGCCCGGGGGCGCCCGGCACAACAATGGCAGACGGCGCGGAGATCTGGCCCGCCTCGCCAAGCCCCTGAACCTGAACGACCACGTCCCGATCGAACAGCGAGTCCCTGCCGAAAGCCGCATCGTGCAACGCCTGCCTCCGGCGTGCCCTCTCGCGAGCCGCCTTCTGCTGGCCCTTCGCAAACGCCTCGCGGTCCCTCTCCGCGGCCCTCTCCCTGTCGACCCCCTGCTGATCCCTGGCAGCCTGCCGGCGATCCCGGACCTCCTGCGCCTCTCGCTCACCGCCGATCTCACAGACCCTACAGACCTCGCCGCGCCGCACCCGGGCTGCCTCCGCGCGCCCCCTGCCTCGCAACGCAAAGACGTCGGCCACGTCCACGTACACCATCAACCCGAAGTGGTCGGAGGCGCAAAACTGCACGCCCTCGAAGACGACAGGCCCCCGCGCAATCACATGCGCCCGAGCAAACAACTTATCCCCGAACATCGCGCGACCGAAACGGAACCCGGGGCCGCTGCACTGCTGATCTGGGAAAAACCTGTTCCACCTCACGCCCCAGGTCTCCCCAGCGCACGTGGCATCGCACATGCCCTCAGCCTCGCACAGCGCTGCGACCTCCTCGCCCCGCACGTTCCAGTCGCCCACGACCAGGACCCTGGCACGCTCCGCCCCGCTCTGGTCCAGCGACCGCAGCGCCTCTCCCAGCGCAGCAGCACGCTGCGCCGCCCTGTCCCCAGCAGGCAAATGCACTGCCAAGACGCAGACCTCGCCCGCCGCGGCCCCGCCTCGGCCCGACGCCACCCTGACGCGCGCAGCTACACCAGCAGCCGGAGAAGCCTCACACAACAGCCGCTCCGCCTCCATGCCCTTGCGAACGCACAAGTGGACGTACCCCCGCGTCGCCGTTGCCGGGGTGGCGCCCAAGAAGTGATAATGCTCGAGCAGCTCGCCCATCGCGTCCGCCCCCTCGCACTCCTGCAGCGCCACGACGTCGCAGCCGAAGGCCCTCCGCCACCCCAGGATCTCCGCAACCAAGGCTGCCCTCTGATCTCTCCCCCCATACCTGGGAGGAGCCTGCGCCGACCAAGACCCGCCGGCAACGTTCCACGTGCCCACGCGCAGCCGCACCCCCGCGGTCGCCCCGTCGCCGCGGCCCCGCTCCAGAGCAAAATTCCGCCCCCCGGGGGCGCTGCCTGACGCTGCTTCCGCGCCCTCCCACTCGGCCTCGTCGCCCCTGCGCGCCAGCGACGGCACGTGGCCCAGCGACCGCAGCACCGCCCTGCACGCGTCCGCCTCGACCAACAAGACAGAAACGTCCGACGCACCTTCCTGGCGGAGACGCGTCCGAAAGCCCGCGAAGACTGCCGCCACCACCTGGCCCGCGTCTGGCACGAACATCTTCGACGCCATGTCTAATCCTCTCTCCCCGGCAGCCCTGGACACCAGAGAGAGCAAGACCCCGAACGCGCAGAGGCAGCGCTGGTGAGACACCCGGCACTCGGGGACCCCCTCCTCCATGATCGTCTCCGGCCCCGCCTGGCCCGCCACCGCCGAGGCGGGTCCGCGCACCAACGCGTCCAAGTTCAAGGCCACTCGACGCGCCGCTCCCTGCCGTCGCATCTCATCGTACACCCGGACGACGAGGCGCTCCGCGCGCCCCAAAACCTCGCCCTCTGACGCAGACCTCACCGACACGCAGAACCAGTCGCGCCCCTTCTCGTCCACCGCGACGGGCAACAGCAGCTCCTTCTTCCCCGCCACATCCGCCCGATTCCAGACCTTCTTCCAGCCGCCCATGATCTTCCTGAACTGCTCCGCGGACTCCGCCCGCCCGGCATGCAGACCAACCGTTTTGCTCGCCACCGCGACAGGCAGCGCCAGGACACCGCAGATCCGCTGCAACACCTTCAGGAAAAACTCCAGGACGTCCTCCGTGAACCGGCCGCGGCGCAAAGCATCCTCCGACCGCACGTTCACCCTGTACCGGTCCATGGTCAAGAAGCTCGCCCCCCCCCCCCCCAACACCGCAACGTCCTTCTGGGACGCGACAAACCGATCGAGACTCCCGTGAAGTGCAGCCGGAATCAATGCCCCCAGAGCCCCCCTCACCGCGGACATGTGCAACGGCCGCATCTCCGGCGACAGGGCGTCCTCCACCCTGCCGCCCCAGTAGCCCAGCACGTCCTGCCGCCAGAGCATCTTCGTCGCCAGCTCGCCCAGCTCAACCTCCCTCTCATCGCACCCCGCGGCAACCGCGCGCGCGGCATCGCGAAGGGCATTCTGGCACAGCACGCCGTCAACCCGGCCGAAGCCCCCATCGCGGCCGCCGGCCGCCGCCGCAACACCCAAGCTCACAAGGAGAGCCTCCGCGTCAACGCGCTCCGACCCGCTGAGCTCCCTCACGCGCGCGCTGTCAACCAGCTTCTCCGCCACGGACAGCAGCAGACGTCGCCTACCCTGATCTCCGCGCGCCTGCCGCTCGACCACGTTCGCGAGAAGGCCGTCATCCCCCCCAAAGCCACGCGTCGCCGTCCACCGCCCTGCACATGCCCCGCGCACTGAACCCCCGCAGCCCAGCGCGCCGCTCCTGCCCCACCATCCGAAGGCCCTCCATCAGCACGGCCGCAGCCTCCCGCTCAACTGGCTCCCACGCGTCCGCCCGGCAGCACCCGTACCGCCGCAACGTCCTGGACGCGCGGGCCTCGCAGCGCAGCTCGAAGCGCCGGCGCTCGCGAAACGCGCGCGTGCGACGGACTCGCATGAACGCCTCGTACTCCGGCAGGTCTTCCTCGAAGAAGATATCCCACGGGTGGCGCACACGCGCGCAGGCCACGAACCCGATGCCCGGAGCGCCCGCCGTCCTCGCAGACAAGTGCACCCTCACCCGCTCCAGCGTCATGCCCTGAGCCTTCCAGTGCGTCAGCGCCCACGCCAACTGCAGCGGGAAGTTCGACCGTGCCAGGCCTTCCTCCGACGTCGACGCCACCGTCTTGCGGAACATGGGCACCCAGTCCCCGCGCACGTCGTCGCCCGGAAAAAAAATCGCGGGCGCCCGTGGGCATCGCGAAGCTGCGCGCTGTCGAACCGCACGAAGACGCAGATCGGGGCCGCGCGGGCCTTGTGGGCCGGATCGCCGTCGAGGGCCGGCGAGGGCCCCCGAGGCCGAAAACTGCCAAATACATCCCGCCCAGATTTCTTGCGACGCGAGCATGTCTGGGTTTGCATTGACCCCCGTCTATTGAGCCCCGACCCTCCCTGCAGGGCTTGTTTTGCACCACCACCACCATAAGCTGGAGAGGAGGAGGAGGAGGAGGAGGAGGAAGAGGAGGAGGAGGTGGAGGAGGAGGAGGAGGAGGAGGAGGAGGAGGAGGAGGAGGACCCCCTCCCCTCCAACACATGGTGGTGGTGGTGATGGGAAGCAGGCCCATGGCCGGTGGTGACCCCCGCAGCCAGGGATGGCCGTCCGCGCGCGCCCGCCCGGGAGCGCGTCTGCGGCGGCCCGCGCCGGGACGCTCCAGACCCGGCCGTCGGGCCCCAGCACGCTGTCGGACCACTCGCACATGGGCCCCGCGGGGGCGGCGCGAGCCGAGGAGGAGGAGGAGAAGGAAGGAAGGAAGAGGGGGAGGAGGAGGAAAAGGAGGAGGAGGGGGAGGAGGAGGAGAAAGGGAGGAGGAGGAGGAGGAGGAGGAGGAGGAGGGGGAGGGGGAGGAGGAGGAGGAGGAGGAGGAGGAGGAGGAGGAGGAGGAGGAGGAGGAGGAGGAGGGAGGAGGAGGAGGAGGAGGAGGAGGAGGAGGAGGAGGAGGAGGAGGAGGAGGAGGAGGGAGGAGGAGGCGGCGGGGCGGCGGCGGAGGAGGAAGGAGGAGGAGAAGGAGGAGGGGGAGGAAAAGGAGAAGGAGGGGAGGAGGAGGAGGAGGAGGAGGAGGAGGGGAGGAGGAGGAGGAGGAGGAGGAGGAGGAGGAGGAGGGAGGAGGAGGAGGCGGAGAATGAGGAGGAGGAAGAAGAATAGGAGGAGGGGGAGGAGGAGGAGGAGGAGGAGGAGGAGGAGGAGGAGGAGGGGTATGAGGAGGAAGATAGAGAAAACTGCGCACATACAGTGGAAGCCAGTCCACAAGAGACCTCCCACAAGAACACCAACCCTAAGACCCCAGGGCGCGCATCGATGTTTGGCGTGCGAGCGCCGCGCCTCCCGCGGCAAAAACCCCGAAACCCAAGGAACCCAGGGCACCCTGGAGGCAAGCAGGGTGCTTCTTGGCATGGGTCTCCCTTGCAGGGGGGGTGACTGGCAGTGGGGTGGGGTGGGGGGGGTCCGCGTTCTCCGGCCACATGTACCCCACCACCGTCCCCACGGCACCGTTCATCAGCCCGGCCTCCACCCACAAGTTCTCCGTGAGCAGCACCCGCGCCCCCTCGCACACGAAGATCTCGTTCTGGATCCCTCTGAAGTCGTCGGCGTCCACCCCCTCCGGGTGCCCCAGGCCCTCCGGCGTGTCGTGGAAGGCATGCAGGCGCGCAATAGGCCTCCCCGTCCTCGCCGACACCTTCACCAACTTCAACAAGTTGATCTTGTTGGCCCCCACCTCGCCCGTAGCCCTGTCCACCCTGCCGTCCATGAGGATCGGGGCGTCCTCGAAGCGCGCCAGCTCCGCGCGGCCCTGCGCAGTCTGCTGGAGCCGACTGCGCCTCCGCTGCCCCAGCCACGCGTGGGCGGCGGCCGCCCACGTGCACTCCGCCACGCCCCGCGTCACCTCCAGGAACCGCGCCGCATCCCGCCGATAAAGCTCCCGCCTCTCCGCCGGCACGTCGCCCCGCTCGTCCGCGCACCGCCACACCCGCCGCAGGAACGCCACGTCCTCGAACGTGTCCCGGACGCCCCCCCCGACCGCGCGCAGCCGGAACGACGACCACGCATCCGAGGGCGTCATCGCCGCTCCCCTGGGCTTGTTCTGGCCCGACCCCTGGTACGCGCCGAAGCGATACAGCGGATCGTCCCCGATCGGCGGCGCCTGCTTCATATCCCCCGCCAGCACCGCGTCGCGCCCCAGCAAGAACGCAGCCGCGCCCTCCCGGCCCACCGCGCGCCCCTCCTCCCCCTTCAGCGCGCCCCGCGCCTTGAATTCGATCTTGCCGAGCATGCCCCGCCCGATCATGCTGAGCTCGTCCAGCAGCAGCAGGTCGGCCTGCTGCAGACGCTGCTTCAGGTGCGCGCACCGCTTCCCCCCCCTGGCACGGTCACTCCAGGGCCCGCAGCACCCCACGGGCACCCCGAACGCACGACGCAGCGTCTTCGCCCCGAACTTCAGCTGGAGCCCGTCGGCGCCGCCAGCAGGCACGCGTTCTTCGCCCGCACCTCCACCTCCGCGTCGGCCGGCCGCCCACCCGCCCTCCGAGCGAGGGCGCGCTCTCGCGCCTGGGAGCGCCTCTTCGACACGAAGCTCCTGAACGTGCGCGACTTCCCCGTCCCCGCGGCACCGAGCAGCATGAGACGCAACGGTCCCGCACCCTCAGGCCTCTCCCCCGTGACGACGTCGCACGCGAAGCGCTGCCAATCGTCCAGCTCTCCCGCGTCCACCTCCTCGGCTCCGTCACCCACGTCGCCCTTGCCGTGCCACTGGTCCTCGAGGCCCTCCAAGCGCGACTTCTCCCGCCAGGACACGTTGCACGGATCCTTCGTCCACTCGTACCCCTTCGGGTTCCACAGCGAGCGACCCGCACCAGCACCGACGCCGCCCCCGTCGCCCACGCCCAGGTCCACGTCACGCGCCGCATGGGCCGGCCCCGCCGCGCTGAGGCTCTCCTCCAGAGTCCTTCTCGCCCACTCACCCCCCGCCCCGCCCGCGCCACCATCCCCCTCGCCAGGCCGCGGATCCCTGATGATCAATATCTTCTCCGCGTTCGGATCGTCGTCAACGCCCTCCCCCAACCGCTCGCACTCGTCCTCCGAATCTGCACGCTGGCCCTCGCTGCGAGCCTCCTCCCCGCCGTCGCCGTCCACCCCCGTTCCATCACCCGCGCCCCCGCGGCCATCCGCCGCCTTCCTGCGCAAATGCACCTGATGCCGATGAACCATGCCCGTCCGCACCCTCCTCAACAGACGTCGATTGGTCAGACCATCCGGGGGCTCCACCGCGAGCGCCGCGAGGACCTCCCTGTAGAAGGGATTCGCGCGCTCGTACTGCTCAACTACCCACTGCGGCACCCACTGCCGGAGCATCGGATCCGTCAGCATCTCCATGAGCATGAACCCCCAGAACTCCGGCGCAAAACTGTCTACAGAAATCCCACCAGCCCTCTGGGCGTAGGTGGTCTAGAGCAGATCCTCTTCCACCCCTCCCTCTTCCCCCTTGGGGAGGGGTTTACCCCTCCCCCTACCCCCTCCCCTGGACCTGGACGGGGGGGGCCGCGGGTAGTTAGAGCGTCCCAGATGGCCCAAGACGGCTCCAAGAGCGCCTCAGAGAACCCAAGATGAGCTCCAAGATGGCTCAAGATAGCGCAAGATCGCTCGAGATGGCTCCTAAGATGGTTCCAAGAAGCCCAAAGACGGCCCCAAGATAACTCCAAGTGGCCAAACAGCTCCCCAAGGAGGCCCCGAAGAGGCCAAAATCGTCCCAAAACCTAAGGAAAATCAATGATTTTTGCTTTCTCGCCTTTTCGCTTCCGATGGCCATCCGAGGCCTGGAGATGGTTCCAAGATGGCCCAAGAGGGCCCCAAGAGAGCCCCAAAAGAGCCCCAAGACGGCCCCAAGAGCGCCCAAGAGCACTCCAAGAGCGTTCCAAGAGGGGTCCAAGAGGCGATTTTAGGGGCTTCCGAGGGGGGGCGCTAATTAAACCCCCCCTCTTGTTTGATCGATCTCCTCCAAGATGGCCCCAAGAAGCGCCCAGGAAGCCCCAAGAGGTCCCAAGATGGCCCCAAAATGGCCCCAAGAGGCCCCCAAGAGGCCCCCCGGAGGCCCCCAAGAGACCCCCAAGAGGCCCCAAGAGCCCCCCCAGATGCACCCAAGATGCTCCAAGAGGCCTCGGCGAGAATGCCTAATCATTGATTCTACACAGGTTTTAGCCACATGGAGGCCTCTTGGGGGGGGGCACGGATTAAGATGACTCCAAGAGCGTCTGGGAGAGCCCAAAATGACCTCCAAGATGGCTCAAGATATCCCAAGATGTCTCATAATGGCTTCCTCTGTGTGCTGCCCACTTCTCTGATCGAGGCAATTCCTCTGGGCATCGTTTCTGGATGGGCTGGTGGGGATTCGCGAAGCGACAACAATTTTTGGTCGTTTAGACTGGTCCACCCCTCTGCGGAGGAATGCCACCTGTAAAGGTTTTTGCCCGCGTCTAAAGCGTCGCAGTGGCCCTGGAAAATCTCTGCGCGCGGCCACGCTCAAAACGCGCGGGTCGGCGCCCCCGCGCCCGCGCTGGGCGGAGAGACAACCGGCGCCGCCAGACAGGGCCCGACTGGACTTCTCCAATGGCCCCGCCTGGCAGGGAAGCCGATCCCGCTCCAGCGCCAAGAAAAGCAACAGGGTGGCAGTGGGCGGGTCACAAAGCAGCCTGCGCCGCGTGGGAGCGAGAACCCAGGAGCGCCGGGAGGCGGTGGCGACGAGGCGGGCCGTGGCGACGAGGGGGCGCAGTGGCGAGGAGCCCCCGGCAGCGCCCGCCAGAATGCACGGACGGGAGCCAGGAAGGCGACGAGGAAGGGCAATGGCGACGAGGAGCACGAGCCGCAACCCCGCGCCGCCAGCAGAAGGCGCGGTTATCCTCGCGCACTCGCGCCTGGAGGAAGGAGAGGAGCAAGCGGCGCAGCATCCCCACGCCCAAATCCACCAGCCGCACGTGGCCACCGGCTGTAAGCACAACGATCCGCCGCGCCACGGGGGCACTGCCAGGCAGCAAACGAATGCGATTCCACTGAGGCCACCGAGGCCAGGAAGCGAGGAGACCACTCGAGTCCTCCTGGAGATTTTCCTGCCCCCCAAACCGTTGCACGATTTAGGGGCGATGAAAATCTCTGCGCGCGGTCACGCTCAAAACGCGCGGGTCGGCGCCCCCGCGCCCGCGTTGGGCGGAGAGACAACCGGCGCCGCCAGACAGGGCCCGACTGGACTTCTCCAATGGCCCACTGCATCCAGGAGGGCACTGGCGGCCAAGCCGACAGGCGATGTCCACAGGGCAAAGGCACGCCTCGGAACTGCTGTTTTACCGGCGCGCGCCCACTGCATGCGAGCGTGCCCAGTTGCCCTCGTCCCCGCTGGACTGAGACTGCTCCACCAGCCACTGCGCAGCGGCCATCTCTCCACGCGACTGTGCCGTTGCATAGCCCAAGGCAGCGAGCCCCCTCCATCCACCAGACCAAAACAACGCGGATACACCGCCTGCTCGGAGAGCGTCATCCGCAAACCCACGGCGAAAAGCATGCGCACCCCAGTTCTCCGAGTCCTGGAATCCAAGCGCCAAGGCGCCAGCCTTGAGGTACGCCAGTGCTTCAGAATATGCCACGTGACCGAATGGCAAAGACTCTGCAGCCGCAGCTTCCTTCAAGCCGCACACCCCGCAAAGCAGCTGCTTCACATCTGAGCTCGCGCACTTTCTCACAACCTCCACGGGTGCGCGGTGGCACTTTCTCTGGACGAAGGTAATGACGCATCGAAAATTTCGGCCACTCCCAACGAAGCGAAAGGGCGCCTTGCTCGAGCCCAGGAGCAGCGTCTCAGACGAATACCGCAGACAGAAGTGCCGAGAAACTACCCACGATAGACCAATATCGCGACGCCCTGCCTGCGACACCCACTCTACCAAGGCGCGGGTCTGAGACACAGACGCCCAAACTCTGGGCCGCTGGTGGCCCATCCCAGCTTTCTCCGCGCCACGCACAAGCTTCGACGTGTCCCCAAGCTCGCCGGCTGGAGCCCGCAGCAGATGAAGCACTGACCGCAAAGGCGACGAGTAGCGCCCGAGCGAAGTACTGCTGCGAAACAGCGCGCAAAACACGCACAGTGTAGAGTACTTGGGCTGCCATGGCGCTTCACCGCTGACAAGCAGCAGCTTAACCCCAGAGCTCCACCGCGCTGGCATACTGCAGAGCGCTCTGCGCCACCCACAGAATTCGAGCCAGACGGCGCGAATCTCGAATCCTGCGAGATCTGTGGCAGCGGCGCGTGCTCGTTTCGCAGCAGCGCGTGGCAGCACCCTGGCATCCTCGCATGGCCACTCCGGCCGCCTTGCCAAATCCCTGATTGCACCAGCCAGCGCTTTGGGCTCGATCACTTGCTGTCGGCGCCGCGCGTCCGCAACCAGCGCCAGAGCAGCCATCCCCCTCTGCGCGGCTCCTGGACCAGGCCTGCGTTCTAATCCGAGTTCCTGCGGACTGCCGCCCGCCGCCTGGCTCGGCTGGGCGCCGCTTGCAGCAGCAAAAGACGCCGACCGCTGACTCCGCTGCCGTTCTGCCTCACACACCTGCAGAGACCTCTGGAGGAATGGGTGCGCACACCCATCGAGGGGAGCCCAAATTTGCTGAACTTCAGCCAGGCCGAGGCCGCAGAAGCCCTCGGCCCGGACAGCGCCAGCAGCTGCCAAATCCGAACATAAAAACTTGACTGCAGGCCCTGGCGGTGCTACCGCAGCCACTTGCCGCACAAAGCTGGCCAAGGGCCCGGGGAGCGGCGCTGTCGCAAACTGCTCCGGCACCGCCTCCACGATCGGCGCGGCCAGCGAAAGCGCATCTGCACCTGTTGACGCCGCTGCACGCGCCCGGCTCTGCTCCAGGAAATGCAACATGAAAACGTGCAAATGCAACGCCAGCCCTTTGCCTGAGCCATGCGCTACGGACAACTGCGTGAACAGCGCTGCGCCTCCAAGCACTCACTGTCTGAAGCCCGGTCCCGACTCGCAACCGCCCTCGGCTTCCAAAGGCATCGAGAACTGCAGGGCCGACAACGCGGTCACCTGACGCCAGCGTGCCAACCATGCGTGTGACCACGACGATGCAGCGCATTTTTCTCGCAGCACTTACCCAATCTGCTCAAAGCCACGAGGCGTCTGGCGGCTGGCTCCATAGCACTTGGATGAAGCCGGCTGATTGCATCGCTTCCAACGTTGCTGCCTTCTCGTGTGGCCTCGTAGGCGCATCAGCCAAATTCACATGACTGGGCACATAAAAACCGCGCAGCAGATCTGCAGCGCACGCGGCGCGCAGCCAGAAGTCTCCAATTAGGTCATTCCAGTCGGATTGCCTAGAGGAGCCGCGCAAAAGAGTGCCGAGGGCCGTTTGATCATCTACAAACAACAAGATCTCCAGACGATCCCCGGCCTCTTGGCTGAGCAGCAAGTGGAGCGCGCAAATGGCCGCCATTAGCTCCCAGGTTGCTACCTGGTTTTTCCGGTGGAGCGCCCAACGCCATACTGCACGGGGCACCACGGAGGCAGACCAGACACGCCGCTCTGGCAAACAGATGGCCCATGCCAACCTGCCTGTGCCCGTGGCGTCAGAATATACAATGCACTGGCGTCGCTTGGCAGGCCCCGCGGACAACACTGCGCGCCGCGGCACAGAGTGGAGAAACCGCAGCCACCAGCGGAGGGAGAGCGCCAAACGGCCTGACAAAGCCGAGGACGCTCCAGACGCCTGCTTGAAAAGCGGCGCCAGATGCACCCTTGCCGCGCGGCCGTAAACAGCAGAAGCGCCCAAGCTCAGCCTCCCCGCAAGCTTTTTCGCTTCGGCAGGGTGCAGCGCGCTGCGCTCCAGAATGGCGCAGATTTGCGCTCTCCATTGCGCGATCTTGGCCGGGCCAATCTCCAAATGCACGGCCCCACCGGCGAAGTCGATTTCCACCTCCACTCCCAAAATGGGAGCTTTCGCTGAACCAGATACCCGCTTCGTGGCATCAAGTTCCCATCCAAGTAAATCTTCTACCACCTCGCGTGCAACTTCGCTGGCGCCTGCTGGCGTAGCCAAGAACGGAGCGCCTCCAACGACCCGATCCGCGCCAAACAGATCACCCACGAACCGCAGAAAAACTACGAGGAAAAGCTCAGCCAGAATGGACCTGACTGCTGCACCGAAGCGCCCCCAGTTGTAGAACGACGCGACGGCCCCAAACGGGCACGCGAGAAGTTGCAGCCCCTGCCCCCGGGACTCAGCCGAATCCCAGGAGACGACGGCAAACGGCAAGTGCGAGCGCGTCAAGGGCAACGTCTTGAACGCTGCTACAAAGTCTTCTTTGCGAAGCGTGACTCTGTCACAACCTGCCGACATGACGTCGCGAAGCATCGCCACGAAACGATCGAGGGTGTCGTGCTGGATGGACTCTCCAACCGACACTGCGGCATTTATACGAGATGCCGAAAAGTCGTCAATGCAGCGCACCGGCGCGAATTCCCTTTCCAGCCTTCGTCGGCCGGGAAACCTAGCAGTGAGGACGCAATTGCCTGACAAGGAACGTCACCTCGCATGCCCGTCGCGAACCTCTTTTTCGCACTTGCTCTCGAAAGCCGCTCGGATTGAATCCTCCAGATCCGTCTGACGCCGAACTCGGCGGAGCGTGGCTTCGTTTAAAGAAGCGGTTTGCGCACGCAAACTCGCGGCAGTTTCCGGGCACTGCAAAAACGGGAGGACAGGCAGGGCACCGCCGCGGGGCATTTCGCCGAGCAGCGGAAACCCATTCCTCAGATCAGCTACGAGACGCGCGTCAGGCCAGCCAATCGCCTCAAGCATCTCGCCAAGCACAAGCAAATTTTTCTTCGGACCCAGGACGCCCTAGACGTGCGAGGGCAGCGCCCCGAACTTGCACGCCCACAGCGGGTCCAGCACACGCTTGCGCTCACGCCAGTGCGCGAGACTGTCCGCCCGAACGTGGGCCAGGGCGGGCCCGTCTAGAGCGAGGGAGCGAGCCAGCGGCGCAGCGACGGCCCCGGGCACCACGGGGAAACCACTGCACGCAGGCAAACTGAGCGCCCAACCTCAATGATCGAGCGGAGTTAAACTAAAACCCTCTGGGTCCTGCAGAAAACTATGTACAAGATCCCTAAGCCTGGCCACGCCAGGGGACTCGGGATATTCGTGGCGAAGCGTTCGCGAACAAAAACGGGCATCGCCACTGCCGTCGCGACTGCCAAGTGCGCCGGATTCGCCATCAAAATGAGCAGAATCGACGCTGGAGCCTCCTGGGCTCACTTCCTGCGCTGCTGCCAGCCTTTCTGCTTCCAGCTGCCCTGGTCGTTGCTGTGATGCCAGCCGTCCTGGTTGCGCAAGGGGCTGCGGGACCGCGGCGGCACCGCTGGCGAGAGCGACCGTGGCGGCGGCCTCGCTGCAGCGCTGCCCGAGCTGCGCTCGCTGCCCTTCGCGCTAAAGGCGTCGCCCTTGCCGTGCTTGCCCTTGCCCGCGCCCTTACCTGCCAGCGCCCTGGCTGCTTCGGCCGCCCTGGCTTCCACCTTCCTCTTCGCCTGCTTGGCGAGATCGGCTTCCGCTTTCGTGAGTTGCAGGTTCCAATCGGGGTCGCCGCGCTCCAGGGCCTTCGCCATCGCCAGGCGAGCCATGACATCATATTGGTACGCCGTGCGCACGCCGCCCTCCTCCTCAGCGATCTTGCTGAGCAGCATCGAGTAGCCGAGAATCTCGAGGGGGGTAGCGGTCTTCATCAGAATGAGCTTCAGGCCCCAGTCCATGATGTGGGCGTGGAAAGTGGCGTACCCAGGGTAGTCCAGCTCCGAGGTAGCCCTGACCCGCTTCAGCTCGGCCATTTGCCGCTGGCGGTTCGGCACCGGCCGTCGCCCACGGGCACGTCGATGCGAGGAATCCTCGACCACGCTGGGCGGAAGTTGTTCTGAAGATCTTCGCCGTCAGCACTGCCTACATACAGACGCCCTTTCTCTCTGGCGATGCGCCCTGCCGCCTCAAAGACAGCCAAGTTCTCCTCTGAGGGCAGGACGTCCTGGGGGAACCTGTCCATCCCCAGCTCGGTGAGCCTGGCTGCACAGCGCCTTCACGGAGCGCTTGTTCGCCGCCCGCGCCTCAAGGTAAGCATTCATCGTGCCCGCCAGGGTGCTTTCAGGCGTCGGAGCTTGAGGCACGACAGTGGCGCACTTGCGCTGGACCCTGTAGGCAAAGGCGACCTGCGTCGGCTGGACAACCCACGCCTGGAAGACGGAGGTCTCCACCTCTGAAGTGTAAGGTTTCTCGCCGTGCCTGACAGTGTTCCCGATGATCTCGCGCATGCACGAATCGCCAATGTCGAGCTGCGAAAGCGTGCCAAGCTTCTCCGCCAGCAGTTTCCCGACGGAGAGGTACCAGAAGAGGTCGTGGTGAGCCTTAGGCGACTCGTCCACACTGAGCAAGAACTCGCACCACTTGATCTGGGCAGCAACCTCCGCGCCGCACAGGGCGCCCTGCGGGAGGTCCCGCACGAAAGCCTCGACCTCTGCGGCGCCGAAGGACATGGCGCGATGCTCAGCTGCGGGTGGGTGCTGGCTATTACCAGGGAAATGAGCACGTGGAAGCGCCAGAAAGCTGGAGCCAGAAGACCGCGGCTGCAGCAGGCCCGGGCGCCGGCCAGGACGAGGCCGCGAACGGAAAGCCCAACCCACAAGCAACTAGAAACGATGCCACGAGAGACCACGGGACCACCCGAGCAGCCCCGCACAGCGCCCGCGCCACAGGCCACGGCCAACCACAAGAGCCGGCCAGGCCGCCAGGGCCACCCCACGGAAGACCGCCGCCGACCTGCGCAAAACGCCCAACACAGAGGCGTTGCGCTCCCTGCAGGAGCAACCGCAAAACAACCCGACCTGCGGGCGCACCCCAAACTGACAGCCTGGACCCACTGCAAATAGAACACGGCGCCGATCGACCTGCGGGTGCACCTCCCGTCCTGGGCACGAACGCCGCTGCCCGACCTGCGGTGCTTTCCCGAGCTGCGGGAGCGAACACTGCCCGCCCGGGCCTCCCAGCCCGCGGAAACGAAACGACGCTGCCCGACCTGCGGGTGCATTCCCCGAAATGCGGGACTGGAAAAGGTGGTGCCCGACCTGCGGGTGCACTCCCCGACCTGCGGGACCGAAAGGTGCTGCCCGACCTGCGGGTGCACCCCCCAATCTGCGGGACCGAAAACGGTGTCGCCCGACCTGCGGGTGCCTTCCCCGACCTGCGGGACTGGAAAAGGTGCTGCCCAACCTGCGGATGCACTTCCCGACCTGCGGGAACGAAAACGGTGCTGCCCGACCTGCGGGTGCACTTCCCGACCTGCGGGAACGAAAAACATGTGCTGCCCGACCTGCGGGAAGCACATTGCGGGAGCGAGAACCCAGGAGCGCCGGGAGGCGGTGGCGACGAGGCGGGCCCGTGGCGACGAGGGGACGCAGTGGCGAGGAGCCCCCGGCAGCGCCCGCCAGAATGCACGGACGGGAGCCAGGAAGGCGACGAGGAAGGGCAGTGGCGACGAGGAGCACGAGCCGCAACCCCGCGCCGCCAGCAGAAGGCGCGGTTATCCTCGCGCACTCGCGCCTGGAGGAAGGAGAGGAGCAAGCGGCGCAGCATCCCCACGCCCAAATCCACCAGCCGCACGTGGCCACCGGCTGTAAGCACAACGATCGGCCGCGCCACGGGGGCACTGCCAGGCAGCGAACGAATGCAATTCCACTGAGGCCACCGAGGCCAGGAAGCGAGGAGACCACTCGAGTCCTCCTGGAGATTTTCCTGCCCCCCAAACCGTTGCACGATTTGGGGGCGATTCTAAAGGTGTTGGCCGGGGATTATTGCGGCACTCCACGAGCACTCCCAAGAGGATTCTGCCAGAATTCTGACAGGATTCTGAAAACATTCTGAGAGGATTCTGAGGATTCTGAAAATATTCTGAAAGGATTCTGAAAGGATTCTGAGAGCATTCTGCGAGGATTCTGAAAGCATCCTGAGAGGAGTCTGAGAGGATTCTGAGAGGATTCTGAAGAGGATTCTGAAAGCACTCTGAGAGGATTCTGAAAGCACTCTGAAAGGATTCTGAGAGGATTCCGAAGGGATACTAAGAGGATTCTGAAAGCATTATGAGTGCTACCAAAACGATCCCAAAGCGATTCCGGGCCGATTTTCGCATGACGTAGCCAGAGCACGATGGCTCAACCTCCGAGTTTGACTTCGTGTCCTCACTGTGTTTTACCTATACCTTCAGAATTGTTGTTCGCTCACCTCGCGACTCATGCAGGATCTGTGAATGCATTTTTTGGACGAGGTAGCTCTTCGCAGTCGCAATCCGCACTGGTGCCAGCAGCGCCCCAATCGGGGCCAGAGCCACCTGCACGTCGACTCGTTCCACTTGCAGCCGAGCCAGTTCCGCCGGCACAACCGCCGCCAATTCCTTTGCATGATGCGCCGCGATCGGTAGGTTTCCACCGATGTTCTTGCATGCAGCTTCCCGAACTTCTGCAACAGCTCGACGATCGGAAAGAGGCCGGAATCCTTCAGGACCTTCTTTCTGAAGGTGTTGTCCGCCCGCTTGGGCACTGTGGCTGCAACGCTTCTCGGCCGACCCTGAGACCAAGTCAAAGAGCCAGCCAGGCAGTCAAAGGCAGAGGCCATGGCCCTATAGCCTCAGCCAGATGCACTCGTTGTCAAGCGCACCACTCTGTCGATTTCAGTGGAACTCCGTTTGAGGGGACCCGAAATAAACTTGGCTTGGTTACAACGCAAACTGGCTGCACACTGGTTGGACGGGACTGGCTTCCGGAAAACCGCTCGGGCATTGAAGATATGTGACAGCACGGTATCTGCAACGTGGAGCAAGCTGAGGCTCGCAGTAGCGTGGCAGCAGCAGAACTTACCCAGGATTGCCGATTCAGAGTGCATCGTGGACATCACGTGGGGCGCATCGGAGACAGGTTCGGTATGGCGTGCCAGCGCGTCCTCTCAAGTTCGAGAGCTACATATTTCAAGTAGCGGTGGCATTCAGGGTCTTCCAAGGCGTCCGGCGATTCCTACCTGGAACTTTTCTCCGCGCGAAACAACGAGCGGCCGGAGTTGTCTATGTACTCCTCCGCTTCTTTGCTCACTCGCCTTATCCCAAAGTGGGTGCTCCTGGTGGAGCTGGTGGTGCCTGGCGGCGCTTCCCGTCGGCGGTGTTGCTTCTCACGCGCCTGGGGCCTCGGTGAGGTCGCGGTTGTCCGTCGGTCTCTCTGGGCCGTCTGTCTGTCTGTCTGTCTGTCTGTCTGTCTGTCTGTCTGTCTGTCTGTCTGTCTGTCTGTCTGTCCGTCTGTCTGTCTGTCTGTCTGTCGTCGGCGTCGTCGTCGTCTTTGCCCTTGGGGGCGGTGGCGCCGCAGTTCCCTTTCGGGGGCTCGGTGGCCGTGTGCTCGCGGCCATGGTGCCCGCGGTGTTGGTCGCAGGCGGCGCGCTCCCTCGGTGGGCCGCTGGGGGCGGTCGTCTTGGTGCCGGCTGCTCGGTGTTCGGTTTTGCTGGCGCTCCTCGTCGCAGGTTTTGCTGGCGAGATGGAGAGGAGGCAACCTGACATGGGCAATGCCGATGATTCTCATCTCAGCCATGGGCGAGGCAACCTGACATGGGCAATGCCGAGGACCCCTGTGCACGGCTTGGGCGAGGCAACCTGGCAAGGGCAATGCCGATGACCCCTGTTCGCAGCGGTAGCTGCAAGCAGTCCCTGCCCTTCGGCAAACTGTTCGGCGCTTCGCCTTTCCCTAGGGTTTGGCTGTTAGCAACCTGGCAGGGCACGCTGCTCCGCATTTTCGGCCACATGGTGGCTTATGCCGCGAGGCGGGAAGCGCACGTCATGTGGGCTCGCGGGCGCGTGTGCGTTCGGAGGCGCCCCTGCGCAGTGGGCGCAGTCGCGCCGGCGCTCTCAGGCGCAGTTGCGTCTTTGGGAGCGCAAAGCGACAGGGCTGCCCCAATGTCACGGTTTCTTGCGCAGGCGCGCCTGTTGTTGCATTGCGGGCGTCGGCCCCCCAGTTAGTGGCAATTCGGCTCAGAGGCACGGCCGAGTGCACGTGGGTCTGCAATCTGTGCTCGTATTTGCGCTCTGGGACGTCCGCGCGCTCCGTGTTCGGTTCCGCAGTCTCGAGGCTGGGGCGCTCGGCGTTTGCGGTTAGGGCGCGGATGCGCTCCCAACCCACCCAAACATCCAGTTTTGCATTCTGTGCGGTTTTGGCGCGGTCATGGGCCCGGGTGTCCAGTTCGCGCTCTGACTCGCGCTGCAGTGCCCAGTTCCCATGCGGGAGCCAAGCGCGCCCAGGGCAGGGCGCCCGAAAGCCCTTCGCAGTGCCTGGTGCGCGCCGTGCCGCACGCGCGCCTCGGATTGTACTCTGTGCAGTCTTGTGCGCAGGCGCGTCTGTGGGCGCATGGGCGCAAGTTCGCCTTCCTGGGCAGGCGTGCGTCCAGTGTGGCAGTTTTGGCTCTTCTCCGCGGTTTGGCGTCCAACCGTCCAGGTTTGGACGGTGGGCTCTGTTTTGCGCTGGGGGGGCGTTTGCGCGCTCGGTTCTGCGTTCTGGGCTCCGTGCCCATGGTGGAGCCTGGCACGTCCACCTTCGCAGTCCGACTGCAAGTTCGTGCGTCGGGGACGCTTGCGCGCCTAACAGTCGCATTTTGGGCTTGCAGGCCGCACGGGCCAGAGAGAGGGTCTACGGACACTCTTGGGCACTCCGGGTCGGATGTGTGCAGGCGGCAGAAGCTAGTCCTTGATGGGGGGGCATTGGCTAACCCCCCACCTGCACACAACGGGGGCGGGGGTGCTGTGCACTTGCGCGGCACGCCCGTCCTCGACCGACTCCGGGGGGGCCCGCGTTCCAAACGGCGCGTAATCGGAATATCCATGCTGACGCCCTTTCAACAGGGAACTCAGAATTAAATTCTGGTGTGGCTCGTGAAATTTGGGCTCCGGCCACTGAAAATTCGATCCACTGCGGACGGATTTGCTTGGGGCAATTTTTCGGGCAACCCGGAAAAATGTCCGACAATGGTCGGCCGAAGTAGCGTGGGATGAGCGGAAGCCCCCTCGCGTGAGGTTACTTGGCCAAAACAGGCCTCGTTACGCTCAAAATTGCTCTCTCCTTGCTCCGGCCCGGCCTGGCGGAGGGGGAGGTGCAGGGAGACCCATGTAGCTCCCCTGGCCGCTCGGCGGTCAAAGGGGTTCGACTGGGATTGGCGTGGCACCGCTGTAGCTTGCATGGTTTCGCCCAAGGGTGACCCGAGTGGCCCCCCTGGCCGCGATTAACGTCAAAGGGGGGTCGCCGGGATGCGCAGCAGCGTCACTGTGCGAGTTGGTGCCGTTGGAGGCGGAGCGGAGCGGAGGACTCTCTTCTTTCCCGCCTTCTTGCTGGGTGGGGCTCTTGCCGCTGGCGCGCCGTCGGTGGCAGCTGGGCGCGTTCGAAAAACTGGTTGCGGGACGCAGGTGCGGGCTCTCTGGGGCTGCAACGTTGCGTGCGCCCATGTCCCGGTGCAACAG